AGGCAGTAAATGAGGTTCATGTGCTTTCTATCTGTTGGAATTGGTAGGAACTCGTAGAGGGCATTCAAGTGCCTATTAAGTGTTTGCCTCGCTCACTACCAAGTTTTGTGGTGTTCATACCTCTTGAGGCCCTGACATTGAGGAACGGCATTTAAGCCCGGTGGCTATGTTTTGGGCTTGTCCGCTTTGCGAGAAGTAACAAACGGCCATAATTTCTGCACCACAGAGTCCCACATTAATGCCTAGAAGAATCGACTTGAGCAGATGGTTGGCTTTTAACTGACCAGTAATAAATGTCCAGCAGTTAGGCAAAGGCAAGAATATATAAACACAGAAGCGATTAATTGACCAATTGTGGTGTGTAGACATGGCAGATTTTCTTACATCGACAATGAATTTTCTGCACTCTAAGGCGAGCATGCTTTTAAGTAGTGATAGTAATTTTCAGCAGAATTGCGAGTAATTAACGCCATTGGCCCAGTGTAGCAATTTTATTGTAGAGCATCAACGCATGAACTTTGAATTAGTAGCAAATTAAAAGCGCCTCCATTTGAGGTTTGGAATAATTTTGCTTATAAACTATTGAAGATGGGTATTTTAATCTGTATATTTATGCATGAACACAAAACTGGTAAATTGACCGTGATTACGCCTAAAAGGTAAAAAAAACGAAAATTTTAATGATGCCACTGGGGTATGTGAAATGTTCACTGAAACTACATTTAAATACTCATATTCCTGCAATGCCGTAAGGCTTAATAGTTAATATTTAGGAATGGAAAACAACCACCGCCCTTCAAATGTCACTTAAGATATGTACTTCCACTACCCAATATTACATTTATACTAAGTGAACGTCAAGAATAATTTTGTGCAACTTAATGCAAATGCACAATGCAAAAAGCAAAGCAATGACACTGTTTTCAGGAATGCTGATAAAACTCGTTAATCATCTAAAAAAATCTTGTGACGGAGCTGTCAGCGGTTCCTCTATGAAGATTTCCACTAGGTTAACCCGCGACGCACTCCAATCGTCATACGAATGAATGCTTAAAGACATCACT